ATTTTTTTTTTATTACTCTTTTATTTATAATTGAATTGTTCATTTTATACGTTAGTAATTTATTAGTTTTCAAAACAAGTTAATATTTGAAACTTTGCTTTAATAGTTATAATGAATTACATTATAATAAATGTAATAATTAGAATAATAAGTTTGATAATAAATATTTGTGTAAATGTACTATCATAAAAATATACCCTTGGGAAGATTATATCCTTAAAAAGAGAAATTGAAATCGAAAAAATTCGAGAATACAACTTAATTAATCTATTTCCTTTTTACACCAATCACTATCTATGATTTTAACTTTATTTATAGGTATGTCCCTTGCAGGAAATTCAAATGCATTTTTTTATTTCATTTTGAATAATGTACCCTATGCGTTCAAAATGTTATTACACACGATGTCGTTGAAGTTTGTAGCTAATCGATAACTCAAATGTCACGTGTTCCCCTTAATGGATACATAAAAAAAAAAAAAAAAAAAAAAACTTAAAATGCCGATATAATGACTAGACTATAACTTTGAAGTGAATTATACATTTAGTCTTGGATACAACTTACATTGATTTGTACATACTTCATCTAAAGTTTTATTTCCGTGTTTTTTTAAACTACTTCTTTCATATTTATTGCATTTCTATCTGAATATTCACATTATCTTATTACATCAACCTTGTTGTTTTTTTTATTACATTTCATTTGCAAATAACATTGTGTTGCCTTTTTTCTTTCCATTCTTACATTCTTTTCATTTTATTAGTAAATTCGATTTATTCTTTTTAATTTCAACATCAAATACTTTCAAATTTCTTAATGTCAGCATTAATTAAGGATATCTTATGAATTTTAATGTTTATTACAAACTTTTAATAATATTTTGTATAATTATTTGCGAATCAATGCCGTAAGTATATTTAAATTTCATTCAATTTGCAAAAGAATAAATGCATTTATTTTCTAAATCAAATAATTAGGATTCAATATTAATTAGTAGAACTGCTAAATTGTTACTATGTATAAATAAAATTCTATTTAATGTCAAATATACTCAATTCATTTTTCCACTTAAACTTAGTTCCACCTGTAAAAATTTTTAGTTTTTTAAAACACAAAAATTATCTTCCTAGTCAAATTCGAACACTTGTTAAGCTACTTTATAATTTTGTCACTTGTTTCCTTGTACAGGAACTCCAACAGTGTTGTTAAAAATAGAGCCTGAGCAAAATTCATTAATTAAGGCTCGGATTCTGTCCGTTATCCCACTGAATTTCAATTCTGGGCCACTTTGTTTGAAGTACTGTTAACATGAGATTACTTTCCATAACACCCTTGATAGTGCACTCCAACAATACCGCTTGGCCTTTGCGATAGATCACTTTATTTTCTGGATTGCTATGTTGAAGACCATTATAATGGTACAAGGGAAATGTATCTGGACAAGTACGTGTTTCTTCAGGGAAGAATTCATCCATAAAATTAGCGCGCAAAATAATTCCCAAATTTTCACTGTCCAATTTTTTTCTCATTACATTGACACTATAATAGAAAGATAAATTATAATTTATTAAATTAGATTTGGTACAAACAAATTCATGTGAATATACCAATAGATGTAAATAGTGTAAACAG